CTGAACTACTCTTTCTAGGACAATCTCAACACTTAGTCCAGTCTGTCAAAAAAGGCCAAAGTTTAAACAGCTATCACCAAAAGCAATAGCTGACTCAAAATAAAAAACAACAAATAAAAGTGGTAATTTTAGTCAATGTTTTGCCCACAGCCCAGATATCCTTTAATGCTAATTAATGAGTCACAGAGAAAATCCCCTTCAGATAAACAGGATTGCAACATCTCCCAAGCAAAAGTATTTGTTTAGGTCCTGACAGCAGTGCTGGTCTGGGAATAACACATTCAATTCAATTTAAAAAATAATAAACTTAAGCCTTCAGACCAGATGCAGTCATGACTGTCTGTCCTAGTTCGTGTATAGGAAGACTCTTGAGTCTTAGTGAAACATGCTGGCAGGAGGAGTTCTGAAGGACTGCTGGACTCCACTCCAGAGGGGGTGGAGGAAAACAGCCCTTTTCAGGGGCTTTCATGTTCTTGCACTCATTTCTCCTAAATCCCTGGTTGTCACCACGGTCAAGGTCAAAGTTCCATCACTTCCCAAAAGTCACAGCTCTCAAACAGTGTACCCCAAGGAATGAAACAAACTTCCTTCTACACACCTGCACAAACCCCAACAAGAGCTATTGTTTATAAACAGAGTGCACTGGAGTGTGGAGAAGCAGGAAAAATCGTATTTTTCTATTTATTATTCTTAAGGTTTACAGATTTTTCAAAGCAAGAAAAAACAACTGGGGGACTGAGGTCAACTTTAATTAAACATATACTGTGTTGAACACTTAAGAAAGTACTAGAGATGTAAAGTGTTTAAGCATGTTTTTATATGTGTATTATATTTTCACAGTAAAAGTCAAAAAAAAAAAGACATAAAAGTCCCCACCTACCAACGTCTTTCAATCAAATACTTAAAGACATTCACACTTTCTCACTTGATAAATGTTTTCTGGGCACCAAGATAAAATCTGAACTTCACTTTCACATTCTCCATCAGTCCCGATCTCTGAACTTTCAAGGGTTAATATGAATCTCTATGACCATATGCTATACTAGTTATTTAAAGATCGATCATTTGTTATACAAAACCTGAGTCATTAATTCTGCAGATTCAAACATAAGACATTAACAAGCCATCCTCTTATACACAAAGTGGATAGTAAGCAACTTGTGAAATCGCTTGTAGGAAGTGATGAAGAATTTCAGGAAGACCTTAACAATGTTTCTCCTTTCCATCTGCTCGAATTCTTACATTAGCTCAAAGCACCTTCAGGGCATTAGGCCCTGGCCAGCCTCTCATTCACAGTGGAATTTTTATTAATTTTTCTAGCTGAGATTTATTAACCCTAAAATACACACAAGCTAAAACAGACAAAGCCACCTGTTGCCTCAAGGCCTCAAAGGAATTCCTCCCAGAAGCACAGGGGAAAGCCTTCCAAGGATTATCTCAGAGGCAGGCAGCTGCTCCAGGGTGGGAGAACCTAGAGCACCCAGAGTTGGGCCCACTTCCACCCCAGAGTCTGGCCAAGTGGTGGAAAACACACTTGGGGAGGAGGCAAAAAGAAAGAAAGCCAGAATAACAGCAAATAGACTGCTCTCAACTGAAGACGGTTTTAAAACATATCTTGTTTACATGATGGACCATGTAAGGTTCCATGTTAACTGGAAGGAACTAAAATGGACAATTCGGAGGAAATCAATCCCTTTCTAGAGAAATCATTCTACTAGACACCCAAAATGATTTATAGTGACTGACTAGCTTGGCTCTATTAAAACTAAGGAATTCAATACCCAAACTCATCAAAGAAATATAATTTAGTGCAACCTAGCTTTGCTATGCTTGGTGTTCTCATCAGATTAAGATTTACATAGGAGTTAGGAGTAGTGAAAAAATAAAAATCAACTCAAATGCTAGGATGCTATGCTGCATAATGGTTTGCATTATAATGTTTAGCTCTCAAGTGAGCTAGAAGACATTCTGGGAGAGATATAAATCTCAACCGTTAAACGTTTCATAAAAAGGAGCACATTCGGTGGTCTGGAACTGAACCTGCAATATCTCTGAGGTATGCCTGTACCCTATGACCCAGCAATTGTACTCCTGGGCATTTTTCAGAGAAATGAGGGCTTATGTGAATGTTTATAACGTTCAGAGCAGTTTTATTTGAAATAAACTGCCCCAAGTTGGAAACTACCCAGATGTCCTTCAATGGGTGAATGGTTAAACAAACTGTGCTCTATCTATGGAATACTACTCAGCAATAATAAGGAACAAAAGAAAAATGAAAAGATAATAACATCAGCAAAAAATAATAAGGAACAAACATGTAACAACCTGGATGCCTCTGCAGAGATTTAGACTGAGTGAAAAAAGCCAATCCCCAAAGGTTGCACACTACATGATTTCACTTGTCATTCTTGAAATGACAAAATTACAGAAATTGAGAACAGGTGAGTAATTGCCAGGGGCTAGAAGGGAACAGGGACAGGAGGAAAATGGTTGTGGCTATAAAAGGGCAATGTAAGGGGTACTTGTGGTGATGGAAATATTCTGTATATTGACTGTATCAATATATAAATATCCAAGGTGTGATACTATATTATAGTTTTGCAAGATGGTACCACTGGGGGAAACTGGTAAAGGATACATGTGATCTCTGTATTATTACTTATACGTGCATGTGAATCTGCAATTATCTCAAAATCAAACACTTAATTTTTTTTAAAAAGGCTTAAAAAAAAAGCAGCACATTCATTAGGGCTTCATAATAAAAACTTCTTTTAAAAAAAAAAAGTCATAAGCTAAGGAGCTGCAGAGCATTATGCTCTATTTTCCACAAGCAAGTTGGGGGACTAAACAGTAGGCAAAGGATTACTAAAGGGGGCAGTACAGCATAATGGCTGAGAGCTCAGACTCCAAAGGCTGCCTGTTGAAATCTCAGCTCTTAGCTGTGTGACTCTGGACAAGTTACTCTCTCTGTGCCTAAGTTTCCTCACCTACTGGGTGGTGATTGTGTGAATGCAGTTTACCATGTAAGACTAAGACACACAGGCTGATATCAGACATACAAGAGTTAGGCTTATACACCATTTATCCAGTCCACCTGCGTGGGGATTCAGTGGCTCTCCAAAACTAAATCAGCAAAGGTGCCTTTTGCACCGAAAAGCCAGTACTGAAAATCTGAGAAAGGCAAACTTAAGTATAAAACGTTCCACCTTCCCAACCCTCTCCCCTTGCACACAAAACAGAATATACGCAGGGCCTTCTCTTCCAGCAACCACTGTCACTTTCCATTAAATGCTTTATGTTGTAAGCAGAACTTCAGCCCCTTGACAAGGACTAGGGCTGGATATTAAAATATTGGAATTAACTTCGCCTAAGACGTCCCAGTAACCAAATGACTCACTCACTTCTTTAGAAACAGTAAAATGTCAAGGTTGCCAGAGAACCCCAGCCCCAGATGTGTGCATAAATCATTGAGAAGTGTTCATTAAGCCAAAGCCAAAGGACATTACTCAAGATAACACTTTAAGTAAAATCTATCAGTTTTTATGGTTTTTCCTGTAATGGAGAAAATTCGAAAAAATAGGATTACTGGGGGGAAAATCACGGTAAGTTAAGCCCCAAAATTGTACAACATATTTTAAAAAGGCTTAGAATTCCTCCTTTTGCTCTGGCTTCAGAGAGTTTACCCTTCCTCCCTCCCGTGCCTTTTTTTTAACTGTTTTATCCAATCTCATCAACAAGCACTGGACAAACTCTAAACTATTTTCTCTATAATACTACCTAAAAGCAGAAGCTTTTAAATTTTTTGATACATCTGTTTACAACCAGATTTTTAATATCTCTCGTCTGGAAAGCATTTTGAATGCTCTGTGTTGATGACACCATCCACAAAGGGGTCTTTTTTTCACTTTCATAATAATTCAGGTAAAATTAGTAGTCTAATTTCATTAAACTCAAGCCTTTTGTCCTAGCGTTTCACAAGAACAAAAGGCAAGAATATTCTTTGGTCATTTACACTGTCACACAAAAGGAAAACAAACAAACAAAAAAACACCAACTTGTTCACGTCCTACGTTTCTCTACCCTTGAATGAAGTAGTTGATAAATCAGCTTGTCAGGGTTTTGAGTTCTTCGGTTCATTCATTACAGGGGATACTACCCAATACCCAGTTTTACTAAAATTTCTGGATCGTACAGGTCATTGGCAAATAACTTGAAACAAATCGCACACGCGGTATATCCTCCCAAACAGAACCGATTGTCTCCGTTTGCTTATTTTTAGTAACTTGAGATAAAAGACTTAAGACAGGTCGTTTTCCCAACTCGTTTGACAATTTGACCGCTGCCTCGGGACTGAGCGCCCCATAGCTACAGGCTGGAGTATAACAAGCGCTTCCCCACTAGGCTCCCTCATCCGCTCCAAACAAACCCCATGTAATAGCTGAAGAATGACGACACTAAAATCAACCCCACAGATTCATACCTTAGAGGTCTGCAACACGGAATAAACTTTTTTTCCTCAATCAACAGTGCAGTTTAAATAAATAAATAAATGTAACACCCAGATGGGGTTTGTTTGATCCATTCCCGCGACTGGGTGCGCGCAGGGGGTAAGTGCAACTTAACCCTGTGTGGGCCTAGGGGCTCACCAACAGCTGTCAGTGGGCGCTGCGCCGGCGAGGGAGCGCCTCACGCCGCGCCGGTTCACTGGCCAGCAGGTGACCACCCCAACAAGCCCGGGTGCGAAGTGCGGAAACACGGCCACCTCCCCTGAGCGCGATCCGGCCACCGCACGCCGCCTGGTACTTTGTTAACTCCGCGCGCCCGGGATGAGGTGGCTGCGGAGACCAGGCTGGAGGAGGATCCAAGCCTCCTCCAGTTTGGCCTCGCCCTGCCGGAGCGCGGAGCCTCGGCGGGAGGGAGAGGTCGCGGAGCAGCGGGTAACTACGGGCCCCCACCCCTACCCTCTCGGAGCCCCGTGTCCCCACTTCCTCGTTCCTTACCTGGGGAAAGGAGCCCTCGCGGCGCGGGCTCTTGGGGTAGTCTAAGTGACCCCGGTCCAGCATCAGGTAGAGCGAAAAGATCACCACACAAAAGATAGCGCTGCCAAACACGGTGAACTGGCGGCTTAACTTCATTTTTCCTCGATAGACTCGGGGCCAGGGCACTGTCCTCACCCGGAGGAAGAGGCGGACTGTGGACTCCTGGAAGCGGCCGCCGGAGGCTCCCTGCTCCTGGGCTTGTGCTCTCCGCGCTCTCCGCTGCGGATGCGGGTCCGGGCGGCGCTCCGCACCTTATCTCCGGCGCCACCACGCGCCCTTGGCCTTCGCCCCGGCCCACCGCCCTCCCTGGGGCCGGGCGTCCCTCCTGAGGCGGGATTCGCCTGCAGCCCGGAAGGGGCCCGCTCAAACTAGATCTCGAGTTCAGCGCCGGCACCCGGCAGGGCGCGCGGAGCAGGCGGAGGAAAGGTCGCTGTCTGGACTTCCTGCCACCGTCGCCCGACCAAGTCGGCAGGAAAAGTTTTCTCGACCAGGGCAGGCGTGTCCTCTTCACCCAGGAGGTGCGGGCTCGGCGGCTCTAGGGTCGGCGGCGCGGAACTGGGTCCGAGGAGCCGTGGGGAAAGAAATCAGATTGGGAGGAGCCGGGCCCCACAACTTAGCGCCGGGACAGCCGGGCCCGCCCCCGTGGCACCGCCCCCGTGGCACCGCCCCCGCCTCCCCCGACTGAACCCCTTCCTGCTGCCGCCGCCGCCGCTGAGGCCGGGCCGGGGTGCACCCTGGGCGCGGGGACGCACGGGTTCGGCAGGAGTTTCCTCCGAGCGCGCGTCCGCCCGCCGGCGCCTCCCGCCCCCCACCGCCCTTTTCGCTCAGCTCTCGGACCCGGGCTGCGCTCGGAGGGCGCAGGGGGCGGGCGGCGGCGGCGCGCGGAGGAGGAAAAGGAGAGCAAGGAGAGGACCTTCCCCGGAGAGAAGCCCGCTCCAGCTGCAGCCGCGAGTCCCCTCCCTCCCTCCCGCCCCGCAAATGCGGAGATGGCGGCGGCAGCGGCGGAGAAACGCCGGTTCTCCAGCGCCACTCGGCGCTCCTGCACCGCCCGCCACGAGCAGGAGGAGACAGCAGCGGTGCAGTGGCCGTTGGGTCAATAGGCGCCGGCAGCCACGGAGCTGAGCAGGCGGCGGGCCCCGCCTCCTCCCGACGCTCCGGGATGAGGGGGCGGGCTCCCCGGCGCCCAATCACAACGCACCGCTCGCAGGGCCCGCCCCGCGTCGGCCTGCCGGAGCCCCCAGCGATGGGAAGACCTCAGACTGCTTTTGTGACCTGGGAGGCGGTATTGATCAAGTTGAGGCCCTGAGAGACCCTGGGGCGCCAGCAGTCCAGTTCTGCTGCGCTTTCTCCCCACTTCCTTTTCACTGCCCAGGTTTCCTGTCCTTGAGGTCCCAGGCCTGGGGTGCCTTGGATGGAAACTCGGTGAGGAGAAGGGGGCTGCGAATTCTGTTCAGACTCATCTTTTCCTCCGCGGCTTTTGGTGACGTCTGGGGAAACCTGAGGGAAAGGAGCCTGCCGAAGGACCCTCCAGACAGGTGTAGACGTCTGGCTACAAAAGTCTGTGAGGGGAGCCTGCTTGTGCCGGTTATTGATTTATTGCCTCTCAACTCCAGATTCACCCTTTTTGACTGCACTGTGAAAATGGATCTGGGCCTTTTAAAGTAAGTTTTCCTTTGCCAGCAGGGGCTGAAGCTTTGTCCGTAGAGGATGTTGAAGAGACATTACAGGAAGAAAAGTATTTTGCTACCTGGTTTTGGTGCCTTGGTAGGCAGGCTCTTGCAGCATACCTGGCTTGCTCCAGGGCCGAGCTCCTATGCTGCTCAGGGGCCAGCGGTTTCTTCCCACGTCCCCAAGTCTAGTGATTTTGTAGTAGGGAGGCTAAACATAGACACTACCTCGTGTATAGCTTTCTGGGCACCCTGGAGGCAAGATCTGCAGCCAGTTCCAGAGGGCCGATTTTTCACAAGGCGTGGCACCACAGTGATTTCTCTGCCATTCAGTGAGCCAGGCTGTGCCCTCTCCAGTAATTTTTGGATCTTAGCCCTGGGAAGGGCTGGGGGAGCTCTTCTTTGCGACCTCTATCTCCTAGTCCAAGGGTTAGTTATAAGGTTAGCTCCTTAAAGCTGCTCTTTCTATATTCTCTAGGGTTCTCTTACTAGTGAATCTCTCATTATTCCAAAACCTTGTTATAGTTAATAATTCTTTTTATTAAACTTTATTTGTAGTCCCAAGAGATAGACCTGCAAAGATAGGATTAGGAGTTTGGTTTGATTGGGCCTTTGGGCTTGAGCTCAGTGCTGAGTTCCTTGCCAAAGTGAGTTAAGATGCTAATAATTCATAGTACATGGGGCATCCCAATTAACCAGTCATCTGTGGCTGATTGTGGTAAACTACCAAGTTCCTTGGAGCCCCAAGTGGCAGCTACACTGTACAGTTACGGCTGTAAGGTAACTATAAGGACTATGGTGTGAGATGTATTCTTTTGAGTTCCTTTGAATGCTTTTTTTTTTAAAAGTTTTTACAGTTTTATTGAGAAATAATTGACATACACCACTGAATAAGTTTAAGGTATACAGCATGATGGTTTGCTTTACATATATTATAAAATGATTACCACAATAAGTTTAGTTCTCATCCATCATCTCATATAGATACAATAAAAAGAAAAAAAGTTTTTTCTTACAATGAGCACTTTTAGGACCTGCTCTCTTAACAATTTTCCTATATATTATACAGCAATATAAACTATCATCATCATGTTGTACATCACATCCCTAGTATTTTTTTTAATTGTAGTTTATTTTTTTATACAGCAGGTTCTTATTAGTTATCTATTTTATACGTATTAGTGTATATATGTCAATCCCAATCTCCCAATTCATCCCACCACCACCACCCACACCTTGATTGCTTAAAAAGAGAAATGACAAGCACAGTTCCAAGTTATGGTATGAGAACCAGAGAGACAGACTCCATACAATTCTAAAGGAAGCTCTTATTGATTGTAGCAACAAAATGATACTACTGAAAATCAAAACACAAAATTTTAATTTTCACGTTACTGAATTACAACTTCTGTTGAATTCATGGATGTGCAAGTTTCTCATGTAAAAGTTAGGGTGCTGTAAAATAATAGGATCCCAAAACTTGGAGTGGGTTAGACCCAGATGAAACTGACAGCCTTGAACCCCCAAGTCACTCTGAGCCTCTCTTACTAGTGGAAGTAGGTTGCCCTCCAGTTTCTGAAGAGGTAGGCTTCCTCTGCTTGAAAACTCACCTGGGGCAGATGCCTTGAGAGGAAATTCACATTCTCCTCAAAACCCACAGTAATCACCCTCTCCTACAGTGTACTCACAACTAGGATCAAATTTCAGCCTGCTCCTGGGGTATAGATGCACACTCTGATGGAGGAAGTAGTAACTTACACACCAAAGTAACTACAAGACTTTGATAATATATAGGCAGAAACCTGGAGAACGTGTGGGAGTGGATTCTGAGGGCGTTAGACCATGGAGGATGGAATGTAATACTATACTGAGCCAAATTTATTGTTATGGTGTTTATTATATGTGTTAGCTCATGCAGCTAGAGCTTACTTCGTTGGCTGATGGAAACTTGGACTCCTCAGCTGCCTAGAGTTTGTGAGGTTGAAATGCCAGAGCTTCCCTGACATGATGTGGAACAGGGAATCCAAAAGTTTACAGAAACGTTACACTGGACTTATCATATGTAACCTGCATGCACATCCCCCAGCTGTGTTCCATGCAAAGGCCCAGAAGATGCTCCTTCAATGAAGAATTGAGAAATACATTAGTGAGGGGAAGACATGCGTCTTTGAAAATCTCTGTGAATGTTTCCCTCTGTAGGCCATGTATGACTATAGAAGTTGCCACTATTGAGGTGCACTCACTGATAACAATGGGGATGACAGGATCCCAAAATAGCACAGACCACCAAAGGTAATGTGGGTACATCTGCCTTATGAAAGGGCAACAGGTGTGTACAGGCAATCAGAGTGCCTTGGCCCACAGAGATGCCCTAGGAAAAAAATAGATAGGCAACCTAATAGAGTACTACTTGATATTTATTAACAAGAGAAGCTCTAAATCAGGTAGCCAGTATCTGACCTGAGTCACCACAGTGGACTCTCACTCAGTTTTTAGACCTATATCAATTCACAGACCCAGAACCCCTTGATTGAAGGAGAGTCTGTGTACTCTTTAGGAATTACCTTGCACCACTGCCACAGTACACGTTGTAAATGTTCCCTCAACCTTGTCCCCCCAAAATGTGTGGCTATATACTAGAGTGGCAGTACATTGGAGAAAAGGATATATGGAGATCTTTTGAGGTTTTCTAGACATCAGATCTGAACTGATGCTAATTCCTAGGGACTCAAAACACCACTGTGACGCTTCAACCAAAGCTGGAGTTTATCTTGGTCAGTAGATAGATGAAGTCTTAGCTCATATCCAGCTCACAGTTGGTTGGTAGGTCACTTGATCCACACACCAACTGTGTGATTATTTTCTCAGTTCTAGAACTGAGCATATCCCCATTTTGGCTTTCTTATCCATAGGATGAAGTCCATTATAATAGGAAGAGCTAAGTGGATGTGCCTAGAAATCTCACTCTCTTCCAAGATAGTAAAGCAATTAATGTTGTTACTGGGTACAAGCTCATGCTGCTCGCCGCATGACAGGACAGTGAATCAAGAGACGGTATGTTGGGACAAGGAATAGTGACTTTACTCAGAAAGCCAGCAGACCAAGAAGATGGTGGACTGGTGTCCCAGTGAACTATCTTGCCTGGGTTTGGATGCTAGTTTCTTTCATAGAGCAAAGAGGAAGAGGTGAGGAGGTAAAGTAAAAAAAGCTGATAAGTTTTTGCAAATATTTCTGGGTTTCAGCAGACTCTGGAGGGGATGTGTTAATTTCTTCTTTCCTGCAGCCATTTACAGGTGGGCCTGGTCAGGATGTTTCCTGTGAGCTAAACGAAAGTATTTAAGCTTAAGTTCTGGCATGGGAGGCTGGGTTCCCAGAGATGGGCCCTTATGCATACTTTGAGCTATAGGCAAAATCTCTTAAGTGATTAACTTGTAGCAAAAGCAGTAGAATACAAATGTTAAAGTAAAAGAAACAGATCAAATGTGGAGTCACATTTGTTCTTCCCTGTTACAATGTCATCATAAAAGACTTGAAAAAAAGCAGGGGTGCTGATACCTATCACATTCTCATTTAACTCACCAGTTTGGCCAGTGCAAAAGTGGATCTTGACAAATGACTGTGGGCTATTATAAACTTAACCAGGCAGTAATTCTAATTGTGGCCACTGTCCCCAGGTGCAGTGTTTTTACTGAAACAAATCAACACAGCACCTGGCACTTGGTATAAAGCTACTGACATGGATAATGCTATCTTCTCTATACTTACTCATAAAAACCACCAGAAGCAGCTGGCTTTTACCTAACAGGGCCAACAGTATGTTACTGCATCCTGGCTCTAACTGCTTACCGCTCAACAGGCCAATAAATCAAGAGACAAGTTATTGGAGCAAGGAATAGCAACTTTATTTGGAAAGCCAGCAGACTGAGAAGATGGTGGACTAGTGTCCCAAAGAACCATCTTTCTCGTTAGAATTCAGGCTTCTTTTATACCAAAAGGGGAGGGGGTGTGGTTAGTTGTTGCAAACTTCTTGGTGTCAGAATCCTTTGTTCTTACAACTGTCCAGGTAGGTCAGGTCGCAATGTTCCTGTAAACCCCCAACAAGAAATGTTATTCTCTGTTCTGCAACTTTTTATCTCTATGTGAATGGAAAAGTGTTATACCCTTAAAGATCAGAGCCTTGAGAATGGGCTATCCTGTATATTTCAGGCTATAGGCAACATTCTTAACTTGTAGCAAAAGCAATAGAATACAAGGGTTAAAGTAAAAGAAACAGATTAAATGTGGAGTCATATTTGTTCTTCCCTATTACAAGTATACCTCCACAGTATTGCCTCAGGGACACATCAGTTCTACTCAATATAGCCTACAGAAATATTGATCATCTTGACATTCCACAAAACACCACACAGGTTCGTCTTGGTTGTTTATAATGACAACAGTATGCCGATTGAATATGATAAGCAGGAAGCAGCAAGTATTTTATACACCTTAATAAGATTTGTTTGAACTAGAGGGCATCAGATAGTAATCAGGAGTGTGAGATGACAACTCTGAAGTGGTCCTGGCAAGGCCGACACCTCAGGGGTGGGATAAGTTCTAGGATGGTACAAGCTATACAAGGAAAAAGCCACTAAGGGAGAAATCCAAGCAAATGGCGCTGGTTAGAAATTATAGGATTGGAAAAATAGTGAAGTGAGTGCTGCAGACACCAGTCATACCAATCATGTGGCTTTGGAAGGAAATCAACAGTACAACTGGTGGAAAAGGGACACCCTAAACCCCAGGAAGTTAAGAGTCGGGGGAAGACTCATTAACCTCTCTTGGCTCTTACCTGTAGGACACCTGGCCTGGTATCTCAGGATGCTTTGGTATCTGAATACCGATTCTTAACTTAGATCCTAGATCTTTGATCTTAGGACATAGATCCTTAGTCCTTAGATCTTAAACTCAGGACTGTTGACCTTTCAGATGGATGACTTCCACCCACGATGACAGAACAAGATTAATTTTCTGGATGTTAATATGGCTCCACCTAGCCTGAGATTATTCATTCCCATGTGTTCTCTATTTACCAGCTTAAAAAAAAAAATTCTCTTCTATGCTTTCCCCAGACCATTGCTCATGCTCTGAATTTGACTGATTGCTGTATCTATCACTCCCTCCTGACCCTACTGCCAAACACTTAACAGATGTTCCTTTGGGCACTGAAAAGTCAAACCCTGACCCCCATGTCAGCAAAATGCTGTTGCTGAAGTCACTATAAACCTATTAGCAGAATCTAGTTTACCTGGAGCAGTTCTTGCTGTAAAGGCTAGGCTGATTGGCTGTGATAGCCAGATTGTTCTCCTCAAAAGCACTGCAGGCTGCTTTGCAGGAATAATTTAGGTTTAACCACGGGGTTTGTCCATCACAAGGGACACAAAATTGACTCGCTGCAATAAATGATACTAAACACTCCTAATACAGTTTATGCCCCCAATAGGGTACTACCTCTAATGTGGACATCAGGCCTATACTTGCCTAACAAAAACCAGTCTGAACTCTCTAATGTAAGTGGTTATAGACAATCACATTTCTCTGGACCTCCTGCTGGCCAATGAAGGTAAAATATATTCAAATGCCAGCACCTGTTGCTGCACTGATATTAATAAATCGGCAGGTGGAGCGATATATCTCCTACCTTAGAGAGAGCTGTGTGGCTCTCTAAGGTCTGTATCGGTGGTACCTGAGATGTACTTAGCTGGCTTGGCTCTGGTTGGGAGCTTGTTTGCAATTTAGCCTTCAAATGGGTCTGATCATCCTGCTAGGAGTCAGAGTCATGGTCACTCTCATCTGAGGTAGCCTAAGAAGCATAGAAACTATTTGGTTCAAGCCCCTGCAGTTAATCAGTAGAATTAATTAGGTAATCTAATGGGTGGCCTGAACTCCTGAAAATAATTCTTTCTTGGATACATGAAGGGTCAGGGATGGAGTTACTGAGAGACAGCTCTGCTACCACATGGCTTTACATGGCTTTATGTAGGCCAGTCAGGCAAGTCTGACCAGAGTCCTCCTGGAATGCCCTGCAATTCCTTTTTGACCAGCGGGAGATAAACTTCTTGTGCGGAGCTGCCATAAAACCATTTCTCATCCATCTCTCTCATTTCAGCTGAGCCTAGGACTTTGCATCTAACTCCATCTTCCTTCAAATACAGCTGCAAGCTTCTGTGTAAGTCTAGAAACTGCCTGGCTATAGTTGAGATGGCTTCTCAGTAGTAGATCAACCATCACTCCTGTCTCTATCACTGGGTCCCTCCAGTTCAGTGTCCTTCAGTGGGACTAGAGATGTGGGGAGGTGACACCATCCTGGTATTGTTTTTGCTGTGCAAGTAATAAATTGTCTAAATCCAGTTGAGCCTGTGGTCACCTTAATGGCTGATGCCACAGCCATTAAGTGTGGCAAACCAACCTAGAAGCTTTTGTTGTGATCCTTGTGGCTCTGTTAGCCACTGCACTGTTGCTTAGGGGCTGCTCAGCCACTTGTTACTTAGAAGGGTAGGATTTTCCCAATCTGAAGAGTGAATTAAGCCAGTATAATTCAGGGGAAAATACTCATGTGAAAAAGTAGGAGTGAGCAGAAGCAAATATTTGATATATTGGGGCAGCTAAAGGCTGTAGGGATGAAGTAAGTGGAGAGAGATTGAAGACACAGGAAAAAGAAGAGTTCAGTAATATATCAAGGTAGTAGAGAAGAAGATACAGTGATGGGGACCAATAGCTTGGTAGAGATAACCACTCTGGAAAGGAAGACACTCCCTTCCCTGAGACCAAAGAAGCCTCTTTCCTATCCTTTTCTATCATGGCGCTCCCATTCTCTTCTGGTCTATCTCTTACCAGGTCTCCTGACTATCTTGTCCTACTGTCACAACTTTCCCAATTGCCTAAAAATCCTTCAGTAGTTCCCCAGCACCTTCACATTTGATACTAATCACATTAGTATGTACCCTAAGTTCCTTCAAGTTCTGACCTCTGCAATTTTATTTTTAATTTAAAAAAATATATGATTTTTAAAGGTTACTTTACATTTATAATTATTACAAAATATTGGCTATATTTGTTGTGTTGTACAATACATCCTTGAGCCTGTCTTACACCCAATAGTTTGTACCTCCCACTTTCCCACCCCTATGTTGCCCCTCCCCCTGATAACCATTAGTTTGCTCTCTATATCTGTGTCTGCTTCTTTTATGTTTTATTTACTAGTATGTTGTATTCTTTAGATTACACATATGAATGATATCATACAGTAATTTCTCTGTCTGACTTACTTCACTTAGCATAATGCCCTCCAAGTCCATCCATGTTTCTGCAAATGACAAAATTTCGTTCTTTTTCATGGTTGCATAGTTTTCCATTGTATATGTATACCACATCTTCTTTATCCATTCATCTGTTGATGACCACTTAGGTTGCTTCCATACCTTGACTGTTGTAAATAATGCTGCTATGAATATTGGGGTGCATGTATCTTTTCAAATTAGTGTTTTGGGGTTTTTTTGGTTATATACCTGGGAGTCTGACCTCTGCCTTTCTATCCAGGCTTATCTCCTATCGCACTTTCACACACAATCTTCACTCCAGTTATGTTGAACAACTTACCTCTCTCTAATGGGCTAGGCAGACAGGGCTGCTGTGTATGGTTGTACAGACTGCACATGGAACATCTCCAAGAAGTGCCACACATATTGCTGGTATTGTCAGTTTGTATAGTTATTAGAACTATTTTCTGGAAGATGGCAGTAGACTGTCCTAATAAAATTAATATGACAGATTTGTGACAAACAAATAGAGTACTGCCTTGAAGAAAGTGTCAGTTTTATAAAAACTTGAACAAATATGTACCTCAAATCCTTGGTATAAGTTTTTATGTTTAGAATGTCCTTCAGCTGCCTTGTCCACCAGCAAACTCCTACTCATTCCACATAAGGAAACTCAAACACTATCTCTCTATCTCTTCAAATATTGTCAGGTATTTTTTATAGCTACTTATCTCATGGTCTAGAAATATTTGTGGTTCTTATCCCTCCTCTGAATTGTCTAGTAGTGGGTTTTTAATATCCATCTTTATTCATTTTATCCTGAATGAGCACATGAGGTGTTCTGGATCAGAGGCAAATTTCTTATTATCCCACAGTAAGTAAGAACTGCATGCTCCCCTCTCCCAGTTTGCCCCAGGCCTTACCCCTGGGACAACAAAGTGATGAAAAAGAATGGAAATTTCCTTATATGAGTGGCCAGATACTCTGTGGACAAAGGACAAGGGAAAATGATTTTTCTCTGCTTATAAAGGTAAAGGAGGCAGCTGTGCCCCTCCTCTCCTGGAAGGGTCTCCTCCTTACTCCAGATGCCTTCAAACTCCAGGGTCTAGGAATGTCTTCATTCCTAGTTGAAATTTAAATAACTAGAAAGATAACACTCCAGTCTCCCCAGCACCTTCAGAACTAACCTAGGTGCCTTTCCCAGGATATAATTTTTTGCTTTGGGGAAGATAAGAGAGGTTTTATTAACCCTTTGGATCAGAGCAGTTAGCTCTGTCATTAGGAAAACAAGCAGCTACAGATATAATATTTATAGTATGAGAAATGTATCTAGGAAAAGTGAAAGAAAACATTCTCTGTAGTGCATACATTTCTGTGGCTTAGGAGGCTAGAGCCTCTTACAGGAACACTAAAAAGAAAAAAAAAAAACCAGGGAAGTTTTATTTTCCCATTTCTAAAGCCTACATGAGTAAGGTCCCATGTCATAAAGATTTCTTCTGATTCCTTCTCCAGGACACACAGCCTTTGTCATTTTGGGAGAGTTACATAAAATCTCCAAAACTCTATTTTCTAATGTATCCCATTGAGATAATAATAGCTATTTTTCAGCATTTGCTGTAGGAATCAAGAGGTAACAAATGACATGTTGGGAGAGCATTCCCCAGTTGCCTTCCATTTTCTCTGGGAAATGGAAAAATGGGTTCCATGAAGGGGTGAATAGGGTAGAGAACATTTGAAATTACCACCATTGGAAGTGGAGAGTGGAGTCCACATAGATAAATTGGACAACATTGATTTATTATGGAGCAAGTCTACAATTTTCTCTTCCTGGCTTGAAAGCGCAAGGAAAGTGGACTCTGAGGATGACCCATGAATGGCGCTTTCTACCAGGATTCAAGAGCAGTGGCCATACAAGGAGAGCTCAGGGCTGAGAACATATCATATTCTGCCCTTTTCCCTCCCACATAAATATATGTTTGCAGTGGAGGTTTGTTAAAATGGGCACTCAATGATAGCTTGAATAGGAAAAGAGCCTGGGGTGAGGTTTCTAGGTGTGAGGTATAGCACCATGCTTCTGGAGATGAGAGGCTGTATTTCCATACAGAAGCCTCAGGTTATATTTGGTAATAACTGGAAAATCTATCTCATCCCCTGTCAACTTCTTCTGTAATCTGTCTGAGGTCTTCAATTGCCTAAATATATCACATCTACGGTGAAAGTTTCGAAGGGAGTAGAAACAAAGTTCTAACTTCTAAGACCTTAGAAAATTTTGTAGTTATGATTGCACAGAACTGTAAAGGATGGAGGGTTCAATTATTTTCTCCCCTCTACCTGTTGGGAAAAGCAATCTGCCAAGGGTCCTGAGCATCTCTGTACATTATTTCTGGGTATGCCAAGGATGCAGAGCCCAGACTACTCTTTACTTGGGTCATTTCTCAGGGTTGGATTTGCAGCAAGCAACCTTGAGCAACCAAGTAATAGCTTCCTCCCAAAGAGTAGGATTGCTTACCAAACACTATAAAAGCAGTAAGTTCCCCGAGTTCAATATTCCTTGGCTGTGACAGAAAACCACTGAGTATGTGGCAGCCACCTGGACCCCTCCCCTTAGACCCCATGGGATTTTGGGGGCATAAGAAACAAGTGCCAACATCATGCTAATGCTGCTTTGACATGCTCCTTTGTCTCTAATCCAGGCATCATCTATTTTCTGCTGGCATCCATGAAACAGTAACAGGCCCCAGACTCTTCACATATCCTGAAACTACTCGCCTACCTAAGAGAATCTTGACATTATTGGCATAATCTCCACCAACCTATGGCCTTCCTCCCATGAAAGGAAGCTGAGAGACGGGATGAGTCAAGTAACATAATAAACTTCTGAGAAGGTAAGGGAAAGAGAGCTAAAGGAAGAATGCCTTTTTTCATAATCCTTCTCATTATTTGAAATTATATACTGACTTATTTTATGTCTGTCTCTCCCAGTAGAATGCACGCTCCTGGAAGTCAGGGACCTTTTTATTTACCACTGTATCTTAATGAGTAAAGTAGTGTCTAGAAATGTTGAGGCTTAATAAATATTTGTTGAGATAATTAACAAATTATCTGGGCCCTGAGCCACCAGTTGGGATGAATTGGTAGTACTCATAATAGAAGTCTGTTTGCTCTTGAGCTGAGTTTAAAGATATTCCTCTTGTCTTTGTGAATCAGCGCCAAGTCTTTGTGTTCCTACAAGGTCTTTTTAAAGTCCTTTAAAGAGAATTTCCCCCAAAATTATTTTGCTAATCACCTCAGTCACCAAAGGACATCCCATATGGGGACAGAAAGAAATGAACTCTATTTAGTGAGTGACCATTCAATGCTAGATACTAAGTACATAGATACTTTGCTTGTGTTGCCTCATTTAATTCTCACAACTCTACAAGATTAGTATACTGATATCTATTTCATGTGTGTGTGTGTGTGTATATGAACTTAGATACAAAGAGGTTAAATAACTTGCTTAAGGATACATAACTACTAAACTAGCTTCTTTTTTCTAGTTTCAAAACCCCTCGTCTATTTGCTATAGCATTCTATAGAGTTATAATACTTTGCATCTTGTGTTATGGTGAATAGATTTTCCAAAATAATATCTAGGATGTGTATCAGTAGGATTCAGTGCAAAAAAAATAGAAACAATTCTAAGTATTTTAAGCAGGAAGGTATTTAATACAGGGTACTTTCAAAAATCCATGTCAGGATTGGAGAAGTGCATTAACAGACTAGGCCTGTAAGGATGAATGATTCCAGCATAATACAGAGTTGACCTATCAGTGGAGCTATTATTGCTGAGGATGACTGGAACACTGGGTTCAGAAACATAACCCTGTGATAGAAGGTGGAGTCAAAAAGCTACTACTTTCATAGCTGCCACAACTGCTGATTGTCTTCCAGGAGGCTGAGTAATAAACTATGGAACATTGCTCTAGAAAAATATTTCCATGACCTTAATTATAAGAGAAGTACAGTCAGAAGTGGTCAGAAGGTTGCCTCAACTTCTCTTATGTTTTCTAAATCTTGCACAAGTATACCTAACTGGCAGACCAAATTCATATCCATAGCTCTAGGTGCAAAGAAGTCTAGGGCATTTTTTAAGCTTCCAGTCTCTGTATTATGAACGCCGCCATAAGAGGACGGTAGAATGGACATTGGGTGAGCCAACCTGCAGTACTTAGCCCAGGCAGTATTTGGAGAAATACAAATACTTCTACAGAGAGAATGGATTAAAATGTTCAAAACTGACTCTGTCCAGGAAAACCTATATGATATGATTATTTATTTGAACTCCAAACTCCTAACATGCAACTCTTAATGGCTATGATTTATCCTGGGAAAAATGTTCCCTATGCATATTAAGGCCAATAATATATCTAAATGTACACATATCAGAGATGAGAAAATTATTTGTGATGTGGGATCATTACTTTCATTTTTCCATAGCCTTTTGTTTGCTGACACTATTATTGGCATGAATTTTCAGAAGAGGAGGCTTATTTCCAGCAGGCCCCAGGCCTTTCTCTGGATTCTCTTTTACTCTGATTTCTCATATGCCAACACAATACTCACATAGGGAAGGGCTTAACAATTTAGTACTCTAAAGCTTCAAAGACACAGCACATCCAAACATCTTACATGGAGGCCCCAGAGAAGTAAAAAGATTTGCCCAAGATCTTGCGGAGACTAGACTAGAAGCCAAGTTCTCTGGCTCCCTGTCCAAAGCTTTTTTTCATCACAACATAACCAAGCCTTGGATTGTATGCTTCCTAAATACAGTGATATTGTGTGTGTGTGTGTGTGTGTGTGTGTGTGTGTGTGTGTGTGTGAGAGAGAGAGAGAGAGAGAGAGAGAGAGAGAGAGAGATTCCATTTATATCAAGTTCAATAACAGGCAAAATGAAGCTATACTTTTAGGGAAGCATACTCAGATGTTAAAGCATGAAGCAGAGCAAGGAAGTGTTAACCGTCGAAGTCTGATTAGTGGTGGAGGTGGGGAGTTGTTACTGGAAAAATGCACATGGGGATTTTGGGGATGATGGCAATGTCTCAGGAAACTCAGTTTTGTAAAACTCAAAGCTTATTTTTTTAACCCAGTGTAATGTATTTGACTTTTTTGTCTTTAATAACACTTAGTCTTAGTACTCACTGTATGAAAGAGCCAGGCTATGTGCTTTCCATGGATTATTTCATTTAACTCTCACTAGAACATGCTAGTAGAGGCACTATTAGTATGCCCATTTTATAGATGAGGAAACTGAGGCATAGCCTTTACTAATCTGTCCAAATCCACACAGTTACATAGCAGAGCTGGTATTTGATTCATCAGGCCCCAGTGTCAGGTGCTTAAGTACTCTGCTAATGCTAGCCAACAGAAATTTTGTGGGTGAGTCTAATTATAGACCCCTTTATTATCATTATTTCATAGTCATAAAAGTTATAGTTATGAAAACCATATTAATAAGATAAAAAATATGGTTGCAAAACTATACACATATACACACATAGAACTATGATTACATCTATGTTAAATATATATATGCATAAGTATAAAAAGACCAGAATATAAAACACTAAGTTAGGATGATGAAAATATAGGTGCTTTTTCCCCCTCTTTTTTGTTTTCCAAATTTATTGTAAAGTAGCCATATTAAATTTATAATGGGAAAATGTGCTCTAAAATAAACTTCCCATTTACCTGAAACATAAACTTTCATTTCTACACTCTCCTTTCCTGCAGCTTTGTATAATCTTTTAGAAGCCTCTTCTGTTCAATGAGTAACTTCATTACTAAATTGATGGCACCGGATCATTCTAGCTATGCAAATCACAGACCCACAGCCAGCTCAGGAAAAAGATTACATTAAAAATTAAAGCAACGTGTGGAGATGTGGAGATAATGTGCTTACAATTATTTCTACATATTTAATATTTATGCAGTTACAAAGCCAGTCATGAAAAATCTTAAATATTGAGTCATATTCCTTTTGCCCTCTAATATTTTTGACCTTGAACTGAGACTGCCAAATAATATATAAAAAATGGCTGTGGGAGAAGCATTTCTTTTGGCCTATAAATGATAAATGCTTTTTTCTTAGAAAGTGATCTCATTTCTTCCTAGCCTTTGTTTATTTTCAATGCCTTGTATTTTTTTTTACTCTGTTGCATTCTGATCACCCTTGAAAGCGCTGGGCTTTAGGTCTTCCACAGTTTGGTTGTATCGTTTTCGGGTGCTGCTGCTGCTGTGATGTGTTTTCTGTCAGAGGAAATTTACGGGCACATTAGCCTACTTGACAGGCACAACAAGCCACAGGCTCTCCTAAGGAGAAACAACCACGTGCTGTGGTGAGGTTTTCTGTGTCTCTCCATCTCACCTTCCCTCTTAAACCTTAGCACCCCACCATGATTCAGATACGAGTCCCCACCACTTTTGCTTGTAGGTATCGCCTTGGGTCCTGGATTTAACTCTCTGGTTCCTGGTGACAGCAGTACATTGGGTCCTGCAGTAATTAATTCATATTTCGGCAACAATCTGACTATAGCAGTTTGTGGATAAAGCCCATGTCTTCACTTAGAGCCATATAGATACCAAGTAAGGAACTGGTGGGAACTTTTCTGTTCCTGTGATGAGTCATTGACACAAAGGGTAAAGTAGCATCCAAAAACTATACAAAGGAAAAGCACTATCATTACATTTTATGGAAGGCGTTTAGAGAGAAAATTCTCAAACACTCAATTTACTTTTCTCCATGTGCCATAGAAAAATGGTCAACAAAAATCAATGACTTACTAAAAATTCAAAAACATAAAATGAGACATAAATGAAAGGGTAAACTGTTTCCTTGGCAGATTCCAAATAAATTAGAGTACTACCATACAGCCACTGGGGAGCCAAAGGCCTGTGCATTTTAAGTTTAATATAGATTATGTTGCCCCTGAGGGAGTAAATCTGCTAAGATATAGCAGTTCTGGTACATTCGGACCCTGACTTCATGCCAAGCCATCTCTTCAATTTATGATCTTCCAGACCTTTTAAATAACTTTTGAAGGGTGATTTTATTTTGAGAATATTCCCTTTATCCTTGGTATATTTGACCATACACATGTAACTATGTAACCTACAGAAATTATTAGAATAGTCCAAAATCATATGTAAGTTTCTTGCTTGATTCTCTGTCAAGAAGCAGACATATTTACCAAGCCAATCCATAGCATTGGTCTGAGCTGCTCTATTTATTGAATGAGTAAATACATAAATGAACTTTGCATTATCTGGAAACCAGGAATAGGTGGTTTCCTGGTAGATTTATTTTTTAGAGAATTAACTAGGAACATTGTTAGTTTGTTCCTGTCCTAGTCATTTCAGGCTTCTGTAAAAATATAGACTAGGCAGCTTACAAACAGCAGAAATCTATTGCTCACAAATTTGGAGTTTGGAAATCTGAGATCAGGGTGCCAGCACGGTCGGGCGAGGGCTCTTTTCCAGGACGCAGGCTTCTATTGAGTCTCTAAGTGGCCGAAGGGGCTAGGGAGCTCTGTGGACTCTCTTTCTTCGTAAGAGCACTAATCCCATGCATGAGGGCTCTACCCTCATGACCCAAGCACCTCCCAAAGGCCCTACCTCCTATACCATCAACTTTGGGGGGTTAGGATTTCAAAATATAAATTTTGTTGAAAATGAAATAGTCAGGCCATTGCAGGCCCCCTTTCCTTTTTTCTCTTTCTTGGGGCCATGCTCTCCCAAAGGTTTCAGTATAGCCACCTGCAGCTGTGTTCTCACCTATGCCCTCTGTCCCTCCCTATCCTTAAGAGGACAAATGAAAGTTTTTTGGTTCTGGCAGCCTGGAGACTGA